ATGAATTAACCAAAAGGGAAAAAACAATCAAAGCCTAGAATAGAAATAGTAGGAGAGAGTGGATCACCTTATTAGTGATACCTCCACCTTTAGTGAAAGTCGATTGATTCATAGATGTATGAGTGGGGAGATGAACTTGGAGTCTAGCCACAATGATGTTGCGAATGATTTTGGACGTAACAGTCATTAGAAAAATGGGTCAAAATGTTCCCAACAATTCCTCTCTTTTATTTTAGGCTATCATAATAGAAAAGTAGGGGTAAGGATCTTCATCGCTGAAACAAACTATGTATGGCTCAAATAACATCATTTTAACCATATGCCAACATTTCTTATAGAAATTTGCATCAAAGTCGTTTGGGTATGCAATTTTATTACCATCAATAGAACATAAAACCTTTCATATTTATTTTTTACAAGGATTATTAGTCAAAGCAAGGTTATTTATGAAAGATTTTTGGTCTTCCAAAAAGCCGGATTAATAGGAGTTTGAAAACCCACACTGTTAAACATCATCTCAAAGTAGCTAACCCCGATGTTGCATATATCCTCCTACTTAGTTAACCAGTTACCCTTAACATTATGATTCTTCTTTTTTTTTTGATACAAGAATGAAAGTAATGAGAGTTCCTATCCCCCTCCATGAAATGTATCTTCCCAACTTTTTTCTTAAGGAAGTCATCCTCCCATTTAATTGTTATCAACAACTTCTAGTGAATAGTGATCAGATCTTAACTTACCATATATCAACAATGTTAAAATTCCTTAACTAACGCTCTTTAGCATAAAAAATAATGAATTTTTTATGGTGATCACTAAAAGTTTTCAAGTTTCATATTCTAGAAGCTTTAGCGGTGTTATTATAAAGCTTCCACAGTATAAACCAAGCCCTACCCACCTTAGTTGTTCTTCAGCCCCTACTCACCAAATTTAAAATGTTATTTCTGTTAGAACAAGTATAGAGATATTTAAAAGGAGAGAAAGTAAGTTTCTAGGAATGATATTTTAAGGAGAAGTGGTCTACGATCAGAACCCATTCTAGGCAAATGATGGAATGCGGAGAAATGAATATCTAGCCTCTCTTCTAAGTGAACATCGAACAAATAACACTATGATCGTACAAATCACCTTCAAAAATTGATTCATTAAAACCTGACATTAATTATGGGTTAATAAATCTACTTCCTTATTTTTTAGAGATGCGTGTAATCATGTTAAAATCACCTCCCTCAATTCATTGTTCTTTCAAGATAGAACTCGACACAATTAATTGATTTCATAGCATCGACTTATCAGCATAGCATAAGCAGAAGCAATCGAATCTTTAAATAACTCCATTTTAAAGTGAAGATGAAGAAATTGAGGATAATCAATCACCAACTGTAGAAAAATCATCTTTCTCCAAAATAACCAAATTTTATTATTAACATTAGAGGCAAAATTAAAGTTCTAAAAAATATTCAGAATCTATTTTTTGTTTGAGGTAACGAGTGACTCCAAAATAGAAAAAAACCCTAATTTATGGATCCTAATTATGTATTTTAATCTATCAAGAGAGGAGGAATATGAAATTCCATGGATACTCCATATCAAAAGGTTAAACATGCTTAGAGGAGTTACCCTATCTAGTAATTCTAGGAGGGCAGCAACTTGATCAATGATTCCAATTTCTGGTACAATAGTATTATAATGTATGTATGATTAGTTCTCACATCTCTTTATTTTATGTTTCTTCTTTAGAACGTTGCCAAAAACTTGCTTCCAAAGTAACTAAGAGTGAAACTATTATATTTAAATATTAGAATACTGCGTAAGTATACATATCGCTATCAAGTAATGTAAGACTTTTTGATTAAACTCTAAAATATCAAACCCGCGGGGAGAACTACAAACTTTTAAGAAAAAATTAGACAACATATCCTACTTTGAAGAAGAGTATTACTCAAACTATAGATATTATGGTAGGAATGAAAAAATTATTCTTTTCAATTCTTTTTTATAATTGAAAATAAAGTAAACAACTAACTAAATTTACCTAAATTTTTGTAAGATTAAAGCAAAACAAATAAAATATCTTTTCCTTATCATGAATCAGTAACAAGTATAGGAGTTCTATTATTGAAATATTTAAATTGTGTTGTGCCTAATAGGAGCGATATTATTTTTTACCCTTACTAGAGATTCTATAAAGAATATTGGCTAATATAAAGTTTGAATAGTCTTGAAGATGGGCTAGGTAGGAAAGATACTAGCTGTCACTTTAGAGTTATCTCTTCTCCCTCCACCTAGGGACTAACCTCGCGTATTGAAACCTAAAATAAAATACTGAATTGAGGCTTTAGTCTATCACTCTAAATTCCTCTAATTCTAAACTGTTTAGAGTTTATCTCCCAATTTATTTGCTCTCAACCATATAAATTACATTTTCATCCATACAAGGTCATGTGATTCTACAATTAGGTTACTGAGACAATACCATCACATATCTTACATGTTCTTAAAAAAATATTAACATCTTAATTGGAAAAATCAAAAAGTAAATGAAGTATAAGGATTAAATCAACACAATTTATTCCAACATTATAGATCAATACTGATACACCAAAATAATGTGTTATTTTAAGTATACATTTTATGCTTATTTTTTGTTGATATTGCATTTTAAAGAAAGATATTTTTATATTTTTGTTGCAGGTAAATAAATTTTAGGCATTTTTTGAAAAGTAGCAAAAAAAAGGAAAGTAGGAGCCAAAATAACAAATTTTGTGATTCTGGCACGTGAAGCGCCACTTTATAGAGAGCTGGCGCTTGAAGCACAAGACTTGGGACCTGAAGCACCAGACTTGGAGCATGAAGCACCAGAAATGGCATCTAAAGTGCAATTATACAGAGAGGCGGTGCCTGAAGCGCCATAATCGGCTCCTGAAGTGCCAGAACCCAGAACAACACGGACTTAAGTAGCATGACGCATGAAGCGCCAGAATCAGCGCCTGAGGTGCTAGATATGATAGTTGGTGAATTAAGGTACTTCGGGAAAAATTTTGAGTGGATTTTGAAGGCTCCAAATTTTTCAACGCCCTATAGAATGATTCAATGCATTTAGACCCTTTGTAAGGCTCTTTAATGAAGGGATATGTCTCTTAAATGAATGGACATGTCTTTTGGGATTTAAAATTTGTGACTTTTAGAGAGAATTATGGAGCGAATTTTGAAATTTTTTTGAGGGAGGCAGCAACTAATAAAAGAAAGGGGAGTCTAGGGTTGAAGGTGGTGGTGTGAGGTAGAGATTTTGGTGGAGAAGAGAGAGAGGTGAGTAAGAGAGAGAGTGAAGTACTTGGAGGTTTTCTTTTCTTCAAGGGTTGTACGAGGAGAGAGAAAGTGAGAAATTTTTTTTTCATTACATTTCCAAGAGAGAATTGAGAGTGCTTGTAAAGAGGGAAAGTGCTTAATGGATATACTTGGGAAGGATTGTGAGATAAGCTGTGGATTTTATTTCTTGGTTTTGTAAACTTATTTTTATATATGAAATTCATGTTCTGTCGTTTCCTTCTCTTGAATTCACAGTAGTCTTCTCTATCCTTCTCCCTAATATGAAATAAGATTTTGTGAGGAATTGATTTTGTTTTAGATAGTTTTAAATTTCAATAATTTGTGAGGATTTGAACTTTGATCTTCATTTACATTTTAATCTAGCCAATTGAAATGTTAAATTGTGTTGAGAAACATATGATCCGAAAGGGCTATGATTTCTACAACATGGTGAGAATCACATTAAATTCCATGAATGAGAATGTCATCCATGGGGTTGAGTGCAAACAAATAGGAAAATATATTTTGTTGGATGCAAAATTGGAGATTTTAAGGTGATAGATAAAAATCCCCAATTTGGTCTAGTTGATTGGAAACTATGGTGAGATTGTTAGCCCTTAGATAAGGGAGAAGTTGGAGCTATGGAGTGAGAGCCGATGTCCTCCCAACCTAACCACGGAGTTAGGGACCAAACTCTGGATTAGTCGATGTTTTTTATGCACTTTAAAGAGGGTAAAGAGTAGGATCGCATTTGGCACAATACAATTATATAAATATTTTTTCAAATGGTTTTAATTTCTTCACCATCCATATACTAATTTTCAAGGGAAATGATGCTTCCTTAAATTTGAACTCTTCATCATAGAAACTTTGTTTAGTTTTGATAAGTTTACTTTTGAATTTTAGCAAATAGTTCAGTTACTTAAGTTCTTTTAACTTCATTTTATTTAGTATACACTGAATTACTTTAAATTTGAAGTTTATATTTAAGTTTTGAAGTTTGAATTGTGTTTTTCATTATAGTCATAAGAATATAGTCTTAAGCATTTCAAACTTCCCTGTGGGATTGATACTTAGGACTCCATTAGAGCCCTTTATTCTTGAGAGATACGTATACTTGTGTTATTTTTACGGGTTTGGCAATTTAAAGATTTTTAAAGGTAAAATTATTTTTACTAAAGTTCTTTTTACTGGGATTGAATCACATATTTATTATTAATACTATCGTAGGAGTTTTATAAAATTAAAAAATATTTACAAAAGCAACACACAATAAACTCCCAAATCAAGTTTTTGGTGTAGATGTTGGGGAACAAACTCGGGTCACCCGCGGGTATACTCTACACTACACTACAACTAAAAAAGTATTCCCGCCTCTTGCATCCAGGTTTAGTTGGGTGACTATACCTTTTCATTACTTCTTTAAAGTGCAATACATAACAGACATTCTAATACACTAAACTTGTAGATTTTCTGTTACATTTTGATACACCAAAATAATTTGTTATTTTAAGTATATATTTTATACTTATTTTTGTTGATATTGTGCTATAAAGAAGGGCATTTTCATATTTTTTTTTTGCAAGTATATCAATTTTAGACATTTGGAGCAAAAGTAGCAAAAATGAGGCAATTTGGAGCCAAAATAGCAAACTTTGTGATTCTAGCACTTGAGTCGCCAGAATTGGTGGCTAAAGCGCCACTTTACAGAGAACTAGAACCTGAAGCACCAAACTCGGTGCCTGAAGCACCATTATACAGAGAGGTAACACCTGAAGTGCCAATATTGGCGCCTTAAGCACCATAATCCAGAACATTCCAAACTGAAGTATCTTGGCACCTGAAGCACAACAATTAGCGCCCCAGGCACCAGATAAGACATTTGATGAATGAAGGCAGGTCAAGATGAATTTTGAGCTGATTTGAAGCCTCCACGTGTTTCAAATGTCGCATAGGGTAATTCAATGCATCTAGACACTTTGGAAAGCTCTTTAGTGAAGGGAATTTCTCTTGAATGCATGGACGTGACTTTTGGGATTCTAAAGGTCTCACTTTTGGAAAAAAATTTGGAGGGAATTTTGAAGTCTTTTGGAGGAAGGCAACCACTAATAAAAGAGGGGGAGTCTAGGGTTAAGTGGTGGTGACGTGAGGTAGAGAGTTGGGTGGAGAAGAGTGAGAGGCGAGTAATAGTGAGAGTAAATGAATTAGAGATTTTCTTCAAGGGTTGTTAGAGGAGAGGGAAAGTGAGAGATTTCATCTTGAAAGTGATTGTAAAGAAGGAAAGCACTTAAAGAGAACTTCTAGGGATTTGCTTTATAAGGGTTGTGAGATAAGTTGTGTCTTTTTTTGTTTATTTTGTAGACTTATTTTAATATATAAAATCTATGTTTTCTTGTTTCTTTCCCATAAATTCTGAGAAGTCTTCTTTATCCTTTTCTCTAGTCTGAGTTATGGTTTTATGAAGAATTTATTTTATTTAATAGAGTTTTAAATGCCAATACTTTGTGATGATTTGAACTCCGATCTTCATTTACTTTCGATCTAGCCAATTGAAATGTTAAAATGTGTTGAGAAACATATGATCCATAAGGGCTATGATTTCTAAAACATGGTGAGAATCACATTCAATTGCATGAATTCAATTGTTATCCACAGGGTTGAGTGCAAATAAATATAGAAATATACTTTGTTGGATGCAGAATTAGAGATTTTAAGGTGACAGATTAAAATCTCTAATTTGGTCTAGTTGATTGGAAATTTGTGTGAGGTTGTTAGCCCTCAAGCATCAGAGAAGTGGGAGCTCTGGAGTGAGTGTCGGTATCCTCCCAACCTAATCATAGAATTAGGGACCAAACTCTGAATAAGTCAATGTTCTTTATGCAATTGAAAGAGGGTAAAGAATACAATTGCACGTAGTTGACACAATACAATTATATATGAAAAGTAATATACCATGGGTGGCGGCTGGTTCATCTGTAGCTCTGCTAGGGTTTCAGAAGAATGAAATGCTGCTGTAGATGGCCTAATCTTTGCTGTCCCATTACTTTCAGCCGGATTTCTTTCCTCTCATCACTGAATCTTGCAAGTTCTACTATTCTCTAAGCTTTTACATCTTCTTGGGTTTTGGATTTTTCAAATTTCTACTGTTCCACTGATTAGCCCACTGTTTTTGTTGTTTTGTTTATCTTCTACCTACTGTGGGGTTGGATTTGCTTTTGGTTTTTCTCTGGTAGTTGACAACTCAGGGTCAACTCTATCTCTGATAAGGTTTTTCTTTACTGTCCCATTGCTTAGCCTCACTATTTTCTTGCTGTTTTTGTTTGGCTGATTGCTTGGAATCTCCTACCTGCTGTGTGGATGGTCTCTTTTGGATTTCACTGGCAGTTGACAACTTTGGGTCAGCTTTATCTCTGATAAGGCTTTTTCAGTGATGTCTGACCCAACTCCAATTGATATTGCCACCAATATCCAGTGGCCCAAGGCTAATTTTGCTGACATTAATGGGAAAGGTCAGGAGAAAGTTCAGAATCCTGATGATTTGGTTTTTCCTCAAGAATATCATGAGGGTAATGACCCTCTCTTCAAACACATATGTAAGAAAAATGAGAAATTGGCTTCGGAAATTGGCTATATACTTTACTGAAGAGGACCTAAATGGTCTTACTGAATGTTAAAAATTCACCTTAATTGGTAAATTTCAACTTGGCCATCCCAAGATGGAATCTGTGAGAAGATATTTTGATGGACTGAAATTCAAAGGGGCCTGGAAAGTAGGCCTACTTGATGGTAGGCACATACTTATTAATCTCTCAAAACTTGTCAACCTAACATGGGAAGAAGACTATGCTAGAATATTCTCAAAACAGTCCATACTATTGAAGGAATCTCAATGAAGCTTTTAAAGTGGACACCTGATTTTGATCCCAACAAATAACTTCCCATTGTCCCTATTTGGTTTAAGTTACTTGGACTTAAACTACATTTTTTCAACCACAAAGTCCTCCTCAACATTGGCAAAGCTTTGGAAAGACTTTTGAAATTGGATGCCCCCACTTTCAACTTATCCAGACCTTCTGTAGCCAGAATTCTAGTTGAAAGAGAATTTTGATTTGAAAGAAATATTACTCTACCAGCTATGGAGGAAATTTGGTTAGGCACTGAGCATAGGGGATATTGGCAGAAAATCATAGCTGAACAAAGACCCTACTGTTGCCATCATTACAATATGTTTGGCCACACTGATGAGAAATGCTTTAGACTTCATCCCAACCTCAGAAAGAAGATTCTCAGACCTCATCCTGAGGAATTTGAATCACATGACACTGAGCTGCCAACTACTGCTGACTATGCTGTTAGTGCTTCTGAGTTGCCAAGGACTAGGGCCCATGATAACACTGAACTAGAGCTACCCCAAGATATGGCAAAAGAGGGTCCCAATTTACATTCACAATTGTGAGAAGAAATTCCAACACATTTTCATTAAACATTTATGCCAGGAGTGCAATATGATACCAAATGTAATACTATTTGATTCCATTCGAGAAGACATAATCAAAATATCATTCGGAACCATATGAATGATCCATATATTCTAATATTCTGTCATACATCGATACTTAGACATATATCACTAAATCAAATCTGTATATCATTCAATCGGTGATCTACTGTCAGTATCTATGTTGAAATGGTGAGCCTCACCTTCTAACATATCATCAGAAAAGAAAAACACTACCTTTCCTAAACATGTACTGAGGTGTGTTGCCTTTCAAAAGCTTATAGCTCATAAGGTTGTAAATTCTCTAACTCGGGATCAGGACTCAAATGAAATGGCACCTTATCTTCATTCATCCTCCTGAGAGTTATGGAAACTCTTGTACATGGCACTCCAGGGATGCAGTGTTTAGCTATATCAACGACGTTGCCTTTTAGAATCAAAATTGATCTCACAGGTAAAGGGATCTCTATAGAACCTCTGAATTCTCCATCACCGACAATCTGGATTTATGTTTCAAACATAATATTGCATTTGTTGATAAATGAGACTATACAAAATGGTCTTGTAAAATCGTGATGATCAACGTGTGGAGGAATACATTCACCAACCTCATAGATATTAACTATGCAGCTATTGGGAATACTATCTGCCGGTAAGATGCGCAAAGTTACCAATCGTTTGATCATCCTTTTTATAAATGAAGGTAAAGGGTCAAATTTGTTGTGGCAAATTATTCTAGGCAGATTTCCTTCCTTGTCCTGAGCAAAATTATAACAACAGCCATATTGTATTGTAAACCTTCCTTTACCACGTTTCCACTTTCTGGGCTCGGAATATGTTCTTCTTCTTAACTGACCAGCTCGACCCATTTCTCTTTCTAAAAAGACAAGTTCCACAATATCATCCTGCTCACTACTAGTGAATACATTGGTATGTAGTTCCAATCCTTCAAGTATATTAACATACTTTCCATGAAGCCTTTGGAAGTGCTCAACATTTTGTTTTCTCACCTTTTCATATTTCTCCATTTCATGCTTTGGAATGATCTGTAAAGGACGCGTTCTATTCACAAATTGGGGAATATTAGGTTCAACTTCCATGATTCTTTCATCAATCTCTTCTTCTTTGAAAATCACCCCTTCTTCAACTTTCATGGGTTGAGGTGGCGTTTTGACTGGCTGATCTCGGGCTTTCCCTTTTAAGGGCTTCCCCTTTTAATTTGATCGCCATCTGAGCAATAATATCTTTGTCCTTCCCTTGTTCTTTCAGTTTTTCCAGCATCTTATGGATACGGCAATTCCGATTTCTTTTCTGCGTGCGAGTGAGTGTTGTTTTACCTTCCGGCTGATCGTTGGTAGGGGTAGCACCAACAAGCTCGCCCTTTGAAGTCATTACCATTGATTTGATTCGATTAATTGCAGCGTTGCTCGACTCCACTTCATCAACTTTTTCAAATTTTCTCTTCTTTGCGACAGTGAATTGATTCTTATTTCTAAATCTTAATCTAGGCTTTTGCCCACAAAACTCTTCTTTATTAACTACAGTTAAGGCCAAAGTCTCATAATCTAGTTCAACCTGGTCAAAGTTGAGATCAAATTCAATCACTCCTCCTTCTTTGAATTTCTCTTTGTCAAGGGCAAATCCCATGCGATTTTTGAAAGTGAAAATCAGCCTTCCTCCTGACATTTTCTTGCACCAAAATAGGAAAACAATCAGTATGTCAGACCGGGCTCAAGGAAGAACAATATGAATTTATCAATTATTTACATGTATATATATATATATATATATTACATAGTATATTTTATTATGTACATATTTAATTTACATTCATGTATATATACACATATATATATATATATTAGGTTTATCTTCAAGATTCAGGGTGTGTGAGCGAGAAAAGAGTATCGTGTTATATACCTAGAATTATACAGACAGAATTTATTGCAAAATTGTTTTTTTATATATTCAAGTACATTTTGTTACAATTTTAGGTTTGGATCCAGTTACAACTAAAACATCAGTGCTTCTAAGAACAAGACTCTATTTCTAAAGTTTGTTCTTTCGAAACATCATGACGTGTAGTACTTTTTCAGATATCGTCCATTGACTTGAAGCATAGGTCGTTCTCCTTGACATTCTATTAATTGATAAGCGACTCCAGAGACCTTCTCGACGACAAATGGCCCTCCCAGGTTGGTTCAAATTTACCTCCTATTTTGTGATGTGCAAGAATAGGTTTTCTAAGGACAAGAACCAAGTCACCGACTTTGAAAGTCCTAAGGCAGACCAACTTATCATGTGCTTGAATCACTCTAGCGTGATATAATTCCAGATTTTGTTGTGCTATCAACCGTTTCCCTTTCAAACTTTCTAATTCTTCTAATCGTAATCTAGTGTTCTCTTCTATGGTATTTTTTTTTTGGCGACGACAAATCTGAGAGATGGAAGTTAAACTTCTAAAGGTTACACAGTCTCGGACCTATACACAAGAGCGTAAGGTGTAGACTGAGTTGGAGTTCTGAACGTAGTCCTGTAGGCCCATAAGGCTTCTAATAACTGCTCGTGCCAATTTCATTTGTTTTCGTCCAATGTTTTCTTTATAATTTGGACGAGAGTCTTCTTAAAAGCCTCGGCCAATCCGTTAGCCTTCAGGTAATAAAGTGTAGAATAATGCCAATCTATTTTGTGTCTTCTGACGAAGTTATTGATTTTTATATTTTTGAACGCAGACCCATTATCTAATATGATTTTGCATGGTACTCCAAAGCGATAAACAACTTAAATTTTGAAGAACTGCAGAACATGGTGTGCTTTCACTTCCCGAAGAGGTATTACCTCTGCCCATTTCAAAAAATAATCAGTTGCAGCAAGTATGAATCGATGTCCCTTCGAAGATGGAGGGTCTATAGGACCCACTATATATGTACCCCAACATTCAAACGACCATGACACTATTGTTGGGTGCAACACATTCGGGGGTTGGTGCATGACCACTCTGTGTATTTGACATTGATGACAACTTTTAGCAACCTTCATACAGTCGGTCATCATCGCAGGCCAGTAATATCCTAGCCTCTTGATTTTCATTTTCATCTTAGGATCTGACTGATGAGCGCCACAAAGTCATGAATGTTCTTCTTTAACAATTTCTTGAGCTTCTGAACTGTTCATACTTCTCAACCACATTTGATCAAAAGATCTTTGGTAAAGAACATTATCTATTAAAGCATACGACAAAGCTCTTTTCTTTATTTGATGTGCCACTGATTTATCATCAGGTAACTTTCCTGTTTGCAAATATTCTGCATATTTTGTAGTTGCCATTACTGTTTCTTCTTTACCTAGTTCATCCAAACTATCAATATCTATTTGAGATAAAAATTGAAGTCCTTGAACGGTTATTCCGATTGAACTTTCCTGTGGACATGCAAATTCCTTGGCGACTTTGGCTAAAGCATCTGTAAGAGTATTATCTCCTCTTGGGATTTTGTATATCATCACATTTGGAATTTGTTCCAATAACTTCATTTTATAATATTGTATAACGGTGATATTGCTCCAATTTGGGTTTCAAAATTTTATATTGTCCAGCAACCTGTTGAATAATCAACTACGATTCTCCATAGATATTAAAGTCATTTACACCCATTAATATTGCCAATTGTAACCCTGTTATCAGTGCTTCATATTCTGCCTCATTTTTGTACATGGTTCTGTTTGATGGTAAGAATACCTTAACATTCCTCGTTCTGGTGTAATGAAGATAGTGCTGGTTTAAGGAAGAAAGCCCAATTCCAGCTTTACCAGGTATTATTGTTTGCAATTCCTTATCTTTTTGTGCTGAAGAAGCCCCATCAAAATATAATTCCCAACATCGAGTCTTATAATTTTTTTAAATTCATTATCTGTTCATCCAGTAAATCATCATTGAGAGGAGAATCGACTGGTAACTGGTGCCCTGCGAAGAAATCTTCTAAAATCTGCCCTTTCACAGCTTGAAGTGGAACAAAAGTTATATCAAATTGCAACAGTACCATGGCCTACCTCGCTAACCTATCGAAAAGCATCGGTCGGGTCATTAAATATTGCAATGGATTAAACTTTGAAATAAGGTTGACTTTGTGAGAAAGCATGTAGTGTCGAAATTTCTGGACCGCAAAGATTAAGGCCAAAAAATGTTTCTCTATTGGAGGATACTTTACTTCCGCTGGTATTAAACTACGGCTTAAATAAAAAAGAGTGTTTTCTTTACCCTCATCATTGACTTGGGCTAGCAAATCTCAGACGAGCTAGCAAGGCTCCGATGGAGTCATCCAAAGCCTTGGTATAAAGTATTAAAGGCCTGCCTGAAATGGGTGCTGCCAAAATAAGAGGTGTCGTTAGGTATTGCTTAATGCTCTCAAAAACACGTTAACATTTATCATCCCAGGTAAACTTTCTATCATTTTTAGTCAACACAAAAAATGGTTACAACACGAAAAATGGTTAACACTTACCTGACAAGTTAGAGATAAAGCGTCTTAAATAGGCCAGCCTCCCTTGAAAGGATCGTAATTGCTTTAAATTTTTTGGGGGTGGCGGCCAGCCTCCCTTGAAAGGATCGTAATTGCTTTAATTTTTTTAGGGGTGGCATTTCAAAGATAACTTTAATCTTACCCGGGTCAATCTTAATCTTGCAGTGGTGAACAACAAACCCTAAAAATTTCCCAGAAGTCACTTTAGGGGATTCAACTTAAGGTTAAATTGTCGTAGCCGCTCAAAAAAATTCTCAAATCGTACAAATGATCTTTTTTTCTATTTACTCTTGATAACCAAATCAATTACATAATACTCCACTTGATTGTGAATGAGGTCATAAAAAATTCTTGTCATTGCTCGCTGATATGTTTCACCAGCATTCTTCAATCTGAAAGGCATTACTGTATAGCAAAAAACTCCAATTAGCGTTCGGAAAGCTGTGAATTTTTTACCTTTTGGATCCATTTTTATTTGATTGTATCAGATGCTCCATCCATAAAGGAGAAAATTTCATGAGACGACAAAATATCCACCATCAATTCTAGAATTGGAAGAGGGAACTCATCTTTTGGGCATGCTTTATTTAAATCTCTAAAGTCTACGCAGATCCAAATTTGCCCATATTTTATCTTAACTGGTACTATACTAGCCAGCCATGTGAGGGATTTATTTTTCCTGTACAAATTTAGCATCTATCAGTTTCTTAACTTCATTTATAACTTGTTGTTCAATATCAAGACGCATTCTTCTCGGAGCTTGCTTAACTAGAATTGCAGTAGGACCTAGGCCCAATTTATGTACTGCGACCTCTGGTGCCAATCCTTGCATTTCCTAGTAACTCCAAGAGAAACAATCTCTAAATTCTGTCAAAAACTTAATCATATTTATAAATTCTTTTTCACCAAGTAGAGAGCTAATAAAATATGGCCTCGGTTCCTTTTCGGTGCCTAGGTTAATTTCTTGTAACACATCTATTGTCGACTTGATCTCTTCTTTGAATTCTGGTGGGGCATTCTCAATTGCAGGATACTCAGAATTCTCCAAAGCTTCGAAACAACTTTTGTCATACTCATTAGTAAAAACTAAACAAAACTCTATATCATCAAGAGGTCCTACTGTGCCAAACCCAAGACCTTGTTTAGACTTGAATGTTTGATTATCATTATTCCAAAGCTTTTCAAAACATTATGATTTAGCTCTTGACCATTGCTTAGGAACCATACCTCCTTGAGCAAGATTTTAAACACAAGGCTAGTACCAATCAACAGGTAATTCCATTAATTCGGAAGAAATATTATCTTTTAGTTCCACATTGATTCCAGAACTAGAGGATGAAGAACCATGATGAAACTTAATTGATTTCATACCTACACTATGTACTTCTTTGACTGTTTGACCCTCAATTTTATGAGTAGAAATCGGGGTGAGGGCCATAGTTTGTACATAGTGATTAATCTGATCATAAATTGAGTCATACTCACATTTTTCTTCATCTTCTAGATTGATTTGGAATTGAGGTTTCTTCTGGTTAACCGACATAGCATCCTTCTTGACTTTCTCATCTTCCAAACTATCTTCT